TTTGTCATTCAGGTGCAGGAGGCCAACAAGGTGGAGGCCACTCAGAACCTCACGGTGGCTGGCAGCCTCCGGGCTGTGGACATCCCAGGCCTCAAAGCTTCCACTCCTTACAGAGTGTCCATCTATGGGGTGATCCGGGGCCATAGGACACCTGTGCTCTCTACTGAGGCCTCCACAGGTACCTCCTTGTTCACTGTCATGCTCTTTTCCCAAGGTCCCTGTTCCTGTTCCCTCTCCAAGGAATGGCAGGCAACTGCTTCTCTCCATGGCTGAATCCTTTCCATGTGGCCTGTGGCTTCTGGCCATGCATGCTCAGAGCCCTCCATGTAGACTGTCTTCCTCCAGATGTCCTGGTCATGAGAAAGATGAACTATGCAGAGGTCGTCCTTTCCAGTCTCCACCTCCCCTCTCTCTGTCTCTGTCTCTGACTCTGCTTCTGTCCCTCTCAGTCTCTCTGTCTCTCTCTGTCTCTCTGTCTCTGTCTCTGTCTCTGTCTCTGTCTCTCTCTCTCTCTCTCTCTATCATAGTTTATTTACCTGGCCAAATGGCATTTCCTTGGAATGATGTTTTTTTGTTTCAGACATCAGCCTGAAGATTTAAATTCCCTCCTCCACTATTGACATATAACCAAAGCATACCTTTATGATACATGAATTCCAGTGGAACACAGTTTATTCACTTAAGAGTCTTTTGGCTCTTGAAATGATGATTTACAAGCTTCCCATCCCTCAGGGGTATCAGTCCTGTGAATTTTGCATTTAATACATGTTTCTTTTAATGCACTGAGAAGAAGAAATAGTTTTAGACCAAAAAGGAAACACACACACACACACACACACACACACACATACAGAAGCCTTTTGAGTGACAAATGTCCAGGCCATGAATACGAATGCACCTACACCTGTTTAGCTGTGTGAATCGAGAGTTGTCCTCTGGAGTGTTGGCTACTGGCTGGCAAACCCCCAACCTCAGCCCAGGGAGGAAGAATTATATTTTGCTCATCACTCTATTCTGGTGACAAGGCATTCTGTTCTTCCCAAGGAGCTGCTAAAGTGAGAGTCTTTCCCTTTTCCATTCCTGTGTTCCATTGCTTATCATTATGATAGGCCCCACTTGGCAAGCTCAGTAGATAAAGTGCTGCCTTGATTTGCATGATAATATATAATTATTTCACCAAATCTCTCACAGTAAACCAAAAGCACAGTTCAACAAGTTAGCCTCTGTCATTTCAGTACAAGTCTCACTGAGATGTTTCATTAAACACTGAGATGTTTCATTGCAGTAAGAGCAAGCTTAAAATGCCTAGAAATCGTAGCTGAGGCTGCCCTGAATGTGCCCTGGGCTTTTTGTTTTTTAATCTAATATCCATAAACCATCCCTTCCCCAAAAGGCAGAGCCATCACCCGCCACTTCTGATCTTTCCTGCAGATCTTGTGGCTTGGATGTCAATAGTATTTTTATGTGTGTGTTTTTCTTTTTAGTGATAGCAGCCTTGCTTCTGATGAGTTGATCAAGAGGAAGGCAGGCCCATACTTCATCTGATCCATGTCTCAACTCATCAGTTGGGATAGTCTCCAAGTTGTAGGGTCTTCTTTCCTAAAGAAATAGGACTAGATTTTAAGTCCTTTGCCAACCTGGCCTATGCATGTTTCATTCCTGTTGCTCAGAAAAGCACTGGCAGGACATCTCAAAGACAAAGTATTATTTCTTGGCTCAAAAGGTTTGTCTGAACTGCCTTGTCTTGGCTTACCTCCCTTGGTTGGCAATACAGTGCTAGCCTTCTTGGCCCACAGACACAAGAGGGACAAGCTATTCTAGTGAAATGTGAGAATGTGAGCTCTGATCTGAAGTATGGAAAAAATGATAACAATTACGTTGAGAAGATGGCCAGATCAGAAGCTGAAAGGTGCCACTTTGGGAGGACTATGGTGTCAGAATGATTTAGCTCTCATTTGAATAGATGGGTGCGCTCATTCAAAGCAAAGGATGTCTGAGGAAGCACCCAAGAAATCTCCATCTCCTAGAGACTGAAAGCTGTCAGCTCTCATATCTTTTGACCCACAACCAGTGAACCTGAGGCAGGGCTCAGAGAGTCAGGTACAGCTAGGACAAAGCAGCTCCGACTCAAGCCAGCCACCATGGCTTCTCTCTCAACGCAGCTTGCTAAGTCTGACCATGCATGGCAAGTGCAGAGCCAGGAAATCTAATTGCCATAGCTTCCTTTTTCAATGTTTCCCTTAACAAAACCCCTTTTCTCTCTCATTGGCACTGAATGGTAGCATTGCTTCATTTCATCCTAACCTTGAACTACCTCATCTTTCTCCCCAGAGATGGTCCTATTAACCACCTCAGTCATAAAACACAGACAAATTATTAATAAGAATTTGTTTCTTCTCTCCTACCCTTCCCGCTTCTTTTTCAGTCAAAGAGCCTGATATTGGAAACTTAAATGTTTCCGACGTAACTCCTGAGAGCTTCAATCTCTCCTGGACAGCTACTGATGAAATCTTCGAGACTTTTACCATTGAAATTATTGATTCCAATAGGTTGCTGCAGATGGTGGAATATAATATATCTGGTGCTGAACGAACTGCTCACATCTCAGGGCTCCCCCCTAGTACTGATTTCATTATCTACCTCTCTGGGCTTGCTCACAGCCTCCGGACCAAAACCATCAGTGCCACGGCCACCACAGGTACATGAGAATTCTCTCCTTTCTGACACTTCTTTCTCTCCACAGGCTTCTTTGCAGGCATAAGCTACTCCTTCTCCTTGCCCATTGGAGTATAAGCCAAGGAAATGATAGTTTCCTTAAGTCGTTCATGACAAGAGGCTGAAGGGCTATTTAACATAACTTTCTTCCAACAGCAGCCCAAATGGAGTATTTGAATAAAGCCTCCTGCCAGGGCTTATCACTGGGCAGAATATTTACTTCACAAAATGTACTTTGGTCTAGCTTCCCATTACAGAGTCTGGGAAAAGAATTCTCCCTTTTGGTTACTGAAAAGCTAAAATGACAGTTGTTCTTAGCTTGGAAAGGTTTTGTCACCAAAGAGATCTTGAAGGTTCTATTTTTGTGTAATCCTCGTATCTTTGTCTTCCTAAAGTCTTGAGTATCCTCATTCTAGGATATTCTAATGACTGAAGGAAATCATTGAGAGCATTTAATTTTGTTTCAAACTGAGAAGATGAAGAGAAAGAACAAGGGTAACTCACCAGATGAAGGCACAAGGTAGCTACCCTCAACTTTAACACTACCTCTAGCTGGTGTCTGTCCTTGGAATAGTGAACGCTACATGGCTAAAAGAGAATAGTCCTATTCACACAAGGATTTTGGTTTATACAGTGGCAAAGTACTCTCACTTGAAATCTGTGCTGTCTGTGGTATTTATACATGATTTCTGCCATCCAACTGAAGTCCCAAATGAACTTAGGAAAGAGTGAGTTGACAAGTCAAAATAGCACTTACACACAGTGTCTTAACAGATACACTAACATCACAAACTGAACAACATACATCTCTAGAAGAAAACCAAATATTTTCCTTCAAGATTCTCAGTTCCTTAGGAACCTAATAAAAAGATCAACACTCTAGCATCAACATTGTCACTGAAGTCACCATGGCTGAGGGAGAGTCTACCTTCCTTCTGCAAGTTGAGACTGCAAGTTGTATTCAAGGTGGTTCCTAGAATGAAGGGAGCCAGCAATATCTGGTTCCCAGCTCAGCCAGAAACTGAGGGGAGAAAATTAGTCAGTTTCGTTTTCAACAAAGGACAAGTTCTTTTCCAGGAAGGTAGAGTCTAAAGCACTACAGAGTTAGTGTTATGTGTTGTGATTATTGAAGTGCAATGGTGATGTCACTTGAAATGCTTTCATACGTTTTCTTCTTGCATTAGTCACTGAACCTCTCCTTAGTCAATTCACTGTCTCCCATGTGACCTGGGGCAATGTGACTATCTCGTGATAAGCTCAGAAGCCCGACTTGAAGAGCTTTCTTGTAGAAGCTAGTCATTTCTGCAGTGTCTCCATCTCATGGAAAGTTCAGGAACCTGACTTTGATAGCTCTCTTATAGAAGACAGTCATTCTGATCAACCCCAGGAGACTTTGGGGCAAGCCGAAGCTCCATCATCACCAACCTCAACAAAGCCTCTTCCAATTACATTGCCTACCTTCACAGGTTAATTGGCAGGGGGTGTGCTCAGACCCTGATGGTCCAAGCACCCACAAGTGTCTCTTCTAATGGACTCCACTCTCCACTGAACTTCTCTGAATAGGCATCTAAAAATCTACCACTACCCACTTTCCATCCTTCTAGCTCTTGAATTTGATAGAGCCAACAACATCAGACTTTTAAAGCTTTCACTCACCCCAAATTAAGGAACTTCAGTGTCTGACATCTTTTTCTCCCCTAAACATCCACTTCCCTCTGGATTACTCTGTTTGTTTAAGAGTTAACATGACTTGCTTGGTTTGAATTTCTAAACCATCCCCTTTCCTCTGATCTGGAATAATCTTTTCCAGTACCAACCATTATCATCTCTCTGTGGTCTTTCTAATCAAAGTTTTCCTGGGTCACATTCAAAGAAATGTTTGCATGCCAAATGGTTTGTAGTCTCCTTTCTACTAGGATTTTTTAAATAATGGTGACCCCAGCATGCTGAGCCCAGACCTCAAATCACTGCCCAAGAGCCACATGGGAAATCCTAGTGGTCACATCTTGTTCTTATTTTTTTTTCATTAGTCTGGGTTTCCTATAGACAGACAGCTAGTCCCTTTTTCACATTTACTCCAGCAAACATGTGTTGTCACCCACTGATTGCTGTTCCAAAGGGTCAGCATGTGCCTTCCATACATTGTTTTGTGAAAATCTGGATGCATGTGGTGGATATTCAGAACATTAAACTTTTGAACATGTCTATCTTTCCTGGAAGTTGGCAACATATCAAGAAATTGTTTCAAAGGGTTAGGAGTGAGGAAAGAAAAATGACCCTTGCTTTCATGGACCTCTCAAGCAGAGCCTAACTAGCATCTTCTTTCTGAGTTTTTTCCCCCAGCATCTCATCATTGCAGCTTGTTTGTATATTCTGTGAGTTGATAGAAAGGAAGGTAAAACTAATCAAGAACCTAAGTCTTACTCTGCCCAGTAAATATGTCAATACTGCTTTCCTTTGGTTGCATGAGAGAGGACAATCCCAGCATGTATACTTAATCAACAGACTGATTTCACACTTAATTATAGCAAAAGGACCAAATTCCATTTGGAATCTTTATTGAACATGTTATAACTGAACATTGCAACAGCATTAACTTCGCAAACAAATTGACAATACTGCTTCTCAATCAGATTCTTTAGTCTGAAAGATTATAGAGCAGCACAATAGTGCAGTTAAAGTTTGTCCAAATGAACCCTTTCTTTTCTCTAGATAGTAGAGCTAAAACAAACCACTTCCAAAATCCTTCAGAAAACTCTTTCTTCTTGACCTTAAATTCTATTACTAATATCTTAATCAGCCAGAAGAATGGCTTCTGTCTAAAGTACAATCTAGATTGAGCTCATTTTTGTATCAGTATTTTGTTCATTGTTTTCCAGTACTGGGGCTTGACTTCAGAGCCTGGGTGCTGTCTCTTTGTTCAGGATAGCATTCTACTACTTAAGCCTCAGTTCCACTTCTGGCTTTTTGCTGGTTAATTGGAAAGAAGAGTTTCATGAACTTTCTTGGACAGGCTGGATTCAACTCAGGATTCTCAGCTCTAAGCCTCCTGAGTAACTAAGACTATAGGTGTGAGTCACCAGCACCCAGCACTATTTTTATTATTTGAAAGATGAGCATTTAGGAAGCCAGCCCCATGTATATCTAGGTTAAAACTAGCCACATCAGCCCCTTCCATAAAATGAATTCCTCTCATCATTAACTGCCTATATTGTCAGGGACAAGAGAAAGATAACATCAGTGGAATCACCAATCTTTCCCAGTTATCTAACAAATAAATCCCTTAATCTGAAAATTCAGTGCTTAGCTTCAAGCTTTCCTTTAGCTTTTGCACCTACCAAGAATTTTGAAGTGGAAACCATCTCTGCCTTAAAAGACGAGGATAAGATATAGATTTTCCTATGATGCATATATGTCTACAAGGCCCTTGGTTCAATCCCTTGCCATAAGGAAACCAAACAAATAATAACAAAAAAAATAAATGCCTTCAAGGAGGAAAGAATCTAGACTCTGTTTAGGATTGGAGATGTGGCTAAAGAGGCAGAGTACTTGCCTAGCAAGCTCAAGGCCCGAGGTTCAAACCCCAATACAAGAAAAGGGAAGAGGAAAGGACATGTAAAAAAAGGAGACATGATAGGGTTGGGCATGTAGCTGGGTAGCAGAATGCTTGCCTAGCATTCAGGAATACTCAGGTTAGGTCCCCAGTATTGCAAATAATAAATAAACCCAAATAAAAATAGTAGAGTTATACAGTTACAACTTCCCTGGTATTTGCAAGAGACAATTAGATATATATTTTATGTAAGATTAAAAAGTGGCTCTTTTTTTCTGTCAAATTATCAAATGTGGATTAACTTAGGTAGGATAGCAGTAAGAACTTGGGAGGGGCAGGAGAAGTCAGTGTGAAATGAGCCTCATTGACCTAGGAGAGAAGGTTATAAATCTAATCCCATTAGGCCCTTGTTTCTAGCCTCCTGCAGGACTTCTCACTGAATAGAGAAGAAAAAAAAAGGGCCCAAAGTACTGCTTCTCAGGAATTCTAGATCCAGTTACAGTATTATCTCTACTACTCCTTGATATGAAAAGACTGCATCTTAAAAGCAGCAGCTTAAAAAAAAAAAGGGGGGGGCTGAGAATGTGGCTTAGTGGTTTAGTGCTTGCCTAGCATACATGAAACCCTGGGTTCAATTCCTCAGTACCACATAAATAGAAAAAGCCAAAAGTGGTATTGTGGCTCAAGTGGTAGAAAGCTAGCCTTAAGCAAAAGCAGCTCAGGGACAGTGCCCAGGACCTGAGTTCAAGCCCTGGAACTGGCAAAAAAAAGAAAAAGTACAAACAAAAAGGACTGTGGGGGGAGGGGGAGGGGATTCTTGACAACTAATTAGCCTGAAAGCAGGATGCTTTGAAGGACAAAAAGACACTTAATCTAAATAAAACCAGCCACAGAATTTAAGAACCCTTGTTTCACAGACCAATAGGACTACTTGCCCAGTATATGGAATTTCATCGTTACCTTTGATAGAGTTGATGATTCTTTGGAAATTTTTACATGAAAAAAAATGCCTCAAAAATAAACTTCACTGTTTCACAATAAACACAGGAAACGTAAGCTGCTGCAACATTTAAGTGTCTGCTTAGGGGTGAGAGCATTCATTTGCTATTCATTCCTTTAAAACATTTTCCTTCATATCCCATGGATTTGAACCTAAGCATTAGTGCAAGGTCACTTATCTCTTTGAAAATTCCTATTTAGCTGCAATGGGAATGAATGTTCTGAACTAGAGGCTGCTAAGGAGCCTTGGCCAAGGAATTCCCATCCTTTCCCTCTTATAACACAGAAACATGTTCAGCACTAGTGAGGTGGGACTTACTGAGCCCTCTCCACCCAACCTGCCTATGCCTCAGGACTCAGCACCACTTACTAATTAGATGTTGGCTGGGGATGTGGAAAGAATATAAAACTTGAGAATTGAAGACACTGTTGGACACCAGCTTAGCCATCCAAACAGATATGTCATCTTGGATAGCTCGTGTTTTTTTGTTTTTTGTTTCTATTTCCTTAGATATCATAGAGGTTGGGGCTAGGTAGTAATGCCACTCTTTTCAACATCACTGTGACAATTAAATAAGAAAGCAAACATGACACCTCCTCTGCAGCTAAGTACTGAGCAAAATATAGCTGATCCAAGCTCCCTCTTTGGGAATCCCAGTATGTGACAAAACCCCTTGGCATCCAAGGAATAAGAGTGATTGGCACACCGCTATTAGGTAAATGAGTGAACAAAGAAATAATAACAGAACTTTCTTACGGTCTAGAGATATCTTTATTTTCTACATTTATCCAGAAAAATAAATAGCAAAAGAACTGGCAAATCTTAGAATTCTTTCCTAAGCTGTAAACACAAATTGTTAATCTGTCTAGATAAAAATAACTGTTCTGCCTCCTCTTAGCCTAGGAAGATGTGTCACTAATTGGCCTAATTGACCCAATTCAGAATATGAACTAGAAGTGGAATAGAAACATGTGAAGTATACAAAAGCAAAACAAAAACAGATTTGCTTCAAGGAAAAAAGTAGGCATGAGGCCCAAACGCAACACAAAACAAGACATCCTATTTCTAAATAAGAGACTTTAGAATCAGGCCAAGTCAATTGACTTTGTTGAAATTAAGTTTGGTCACATGGAAGTGGAAATAATACCTACTTCCTCATCATTTTAAGGGAATTATTCTGTCACCTGAAAAGTTCATCCTTAAGATTCGTTTTCCCAGCATGTAACATAATGGGATGATTGACTGGTTATCTATGAGTGTTCTTGCAGTGTACACTGTCCAGGCAGAATCACTGCTGCTAACCTGAGTTCTTTTCACCCCCTCCCTTCTTTCAGAGGCCTTGCCCCTTCTGGAAAACCTAACCATTTCCGACATTAATCCCTACGGGTTTACAGTTTCCTGGATGGCATCGGAGAATGCCTTTGACAGCTTTCTAGTAACCATGGTGGACTCTGGGCAGCTGCTGGACCCCCAGGAATTCATACTTTCAGGAACCCAGAGGAAGCTGGAGCTTAGAGGCCTTATAACTGGCATTGGCTATGAGGTTATGGTCTCTGGCTTCACCCAGGGGCACCAAACCAAGCCCTTGAGGGCTGAGATTGTTACAGGTATTTCAATTCAAGTGAACCATTCTTTCCTCCTGTAGTCCCTCCCTTCCATGTGGTCTGTCTACAGTAGCATCATGATTTTAACATCATTGTCCATCTTCCCCACTTATGCTGTGGATAGGAGGTGTTCTTCCTTGCGCTCTCCATACTTGTGTGTCTAATGAGAAACTCCCTTTTCCCATCCCAGAAGCAAGAAAGTGGAATGTTTTCTGTTGGTGTCCCAAATTCCTTAGCCTACATCTCAGCCATAGTCCTTGTATGCCTGCTCCCTTCCCCTTCCCCTTTGTCTTCATCCTGGCTGGTCCCCCAGCTACATTTCAACTTTCTGAAAAGAAATATGCAAATGAGTATATTTTGTGAATGTCTTCATCTTTAACTCTATACCACGATCTTCACAAACTTACTCATTGGTCTTGTCATTGGAAAGCCACACTGCAACTAATTAAATTGTCAAACACTAGTATCAGAGAGATGCTTTGACACAGATGAAACCCATCTTTTTCTCAAAACTAAGAGTTCCTAGAGAAAAGCAACATGAGCCTTTGTTTCCCCAAGTCTTCCTAAAGACTACTAGCTCCTTAGATGATTGCTTAGTGAAGAAAGAAGTTCCATGATCAAACAAGTTTAGGAACAGAATCCTTAACTACAAGACTTTTCAGATCATCCTCCTGATATTTCCCAAACTTCTCTGACAAGGAACCCCCTTTAAGAAAGAATATCCAAAAAGCATAGTTACTTTGGGTACACTTTGGGAAATTCCGTTTCAAATTTACCTTATCTAAGTGCTTATCTAGTGGTAAGAATAGCAAGGAAAGAAAACCAAACAAGAAAGGCAAAAATAGGAACCTTCTTTAGTCTATCAGCTCAGAGAACAAAGCAAAAAGACCACAACATTTTGCAAAGCCGTTTTTCTTGGGCTCAAGAAAAATATAATCAGCAGAGTCCTCACAGGCAGCTCTACAGATCATTAACGCTGGTTTATTTGTCTTTTCCAAAAGGAAAGAAATAAGCCTTGTAGTAGATGGGCACTCAGCCACTGGAAGACAGAGAGCAAATGTAAACAAGTTACTGGCTTTGAACTTGTTTAATAATGCATGGGAGGGGTCGAGGCTGAATCCAGATGTGGATTTCTAGATCGATTTTAGACAAAGCTCACAGTTGCAAGCATATGGTTGGTTTGTGTTGAGTGTGTCTACTCTGTCCTTTCCCCGTCCTGGCTCTACCATTCTCGTTAATGTCAAATGATTTTGTTTTCACTATCTCAGGACACCTCTGCCTTTGAAAGCCAGGCATCACTGCCTACTGATACCCCACCACCAGAAAGAAGAATATACCCACTGCTATAATGATCTTTTTCCTCCTTCTTCCATCATTTTTTTCTCCCTCTAGAAGCAGAACCGGAAGTTGACAACCTTCTAGTTTCAGATGCTACCCCAGACGGTTTCCGTCTGTCTTGGACAGCTGATGAAGGAATATTCGACAGTTTTGTACTCAAAATCAGGGATACAAAAAAGCAGTCTGAACCACTGGAAATAACCCTCCCTTCCCCTGAACGTACCAGGGATGTGACAGGGCTCAGAGAGGCCACTGAATACGAAATCGAACTCTATGGAATAAGCAAAGGAAGGCAATCCCAACCAGTCAGTGCCATAGCAACAACAGGTACTGTAAACAAACAGGAGGGAACAGAGAAAAGCCATGACTTGGGGCACTTTCTCCTACAGGGTTGGGCAAATACAAGAGCTTTGGACACAGACAAGCTGGCATTCAGACTGGCTCCTTCAATTACAGGCTGTGTTATCTTCCCCCAACTTCCCCCGCCCCCGACAATGCGCCTAAGTCTCTATGCAAAGAGTGCCATTTACCTAATAGGGTTGGAAGGATTCAGTGAGATAACTCATGTAAAATCCTCTGCAGAGAGGCTGGCTTGTGGCAAGAACTCAGTACAAGGTGAACTAGTCCTGTTGCCTTTCACAGCATTCTCCTCTTAGCAATGGCCACACTTTGAAATCCCAAGGAGAACTCTTCCTTCTGCCTATCAGTATATAAGGTATTATCCAGCAATACTATTTGCAGTTTCTTGCTTTTGGGTGCAATGCTCCAGTTGCACTAGGTAGGGACAAGGGAGAAATAACACTTCCACTTCTAAGTTTATTTATAACATGTTGCATGTGAATCATAGAAACTAATCATCAAGGAAGATGGAAGGAGATGGCAAGGCTAACAGATCATCTTCACAAACCTCACTACTTTTAACAACGCCGAAAGACATCTAGAGGAAGAAAAGCAATCCCTCTCCATGTAAACTGTGGCAAGGAGGGAAAAGAAATGTTCAGCAACAGGACTCCTCAGAGTAATAATGCTAATACTTACACGGCTAAGACTTTCTTTACAAGGCAAAGGAAAGCCCTCAAACAGGTGGAGTGAATTCTGTCAGGGCACTGAGAGACAACATTGTCTAGAGACAACTTTTTCAAAGAAAGCAGAGAAAAGAATCACAAAATCACAGGATAAGCAATAGGGATGTAAGCAGTTATTAGCTCAGAAAAGTGAGGTGATTTTCGTAAGATCACATAGCAAGATCTGGAGTAGAATCAAATAATTAGTTTATTCCAAGCATATAGGATGACAGATAACCAAGGAAAATACATTCTCGCCATCTCCAACAGGCATGAAAGATTGACATTCACTAGAACTTGCTCCTTTTTATATAAAGCCAGTTTTACTTTTAATGTCAAATTTCAGACCTAACAAGCATCAGGAATCTACCCATAAAAACCATAACCAGGATTTGTAGGCAGAGAGTAAATGCTTGAACTCAACAAGAGAGAAAGCCCTACTCTTCATGTACAGGGACAGACACCCTGCCCCAGATGGAAATGTGGGTCCCAGTCCCCCCTTCCTTCCCATGGCAGCCAGTGAAGTGGCTTTGGATGGGAGCAAGAGCCTAATTCTGACCTTGCTTTATAAACATGGCTCTTCCAAGTTTACTTCTGACTTTGTTTTGCTGCTCTTTTTTTGTTTGTTTGTTTTGGAAGTCTTGCAGTTTTAAAACAAAAAGAAAAATGAATAATCATAAATTGCCTTTTGTTTTCATTAAGAACAAAAGAAAAGAAGAGCATATTCTTGGGGAAGAATCTCCCTCAGATCTCTCTGCCTGAAGGTCTTGGAGTTCACAGTAAAAGTGGAGGAGGGGGTGGGGGAAGGTCTGTGCCCCTGGGTATGCCCAACAGAGCAGATATAAATTTCCATTTTGTTTGTTCAGCCTCTCCTCTGAACTCTCACCCCACCTCCCACCACTGTGAACCCTCCTCTGTGAAGTCCTGTCCCTTTCCTCCTGATAAGGAGCTGTTGTGACTCCTCCTTGCCTACAGACATCAGACATCTCTCCATGGGGCATCAGCTGCCCATCCTGAGTGTGTGGACTTGCAGAAAAAGCAATGCACCCCAGTGCTTAGCCAGTGGTCGGTCTCCAGGGACATTCTTGGAGTGTAATCATGGCTTCCCATCATGTGACCTCCAGCGGGTTTCTTTACTCTCTAAGCCTCGATTGCCTCACCTTGGAAAGTAGAACTTATCTCAGGATCAGACACAGAGTTTAATGAAGATCATGAATGTTGAGTGTTAACACAATTATAGTTGTATTAACACTGTAACATAGTAACAATATTAATTTGTATCATGTTCAATGGTTTAATGTTTTTGTTTGGGGTGGGACTTAGGATGGAAGTCAGAATCCATACATTTTGCTAGGCAGGTACTCTACCACTTGAGCCAGGTCTTCAGCTTTTTAGATAGGACCGCATTCCCTTCATCCAGGCTGGACTCAGACCATGATCTATTTTTGCTTCTCAGGGAGCTGAGATTACAGGTGTGTACCACCACATCCACCTCATTAAATTTTATTTTTAATGGGCCAGTTAATAGTTAGAAAAGGTACACATTAGAGTCTATTCAACTGTGTTCCTCTACCTGCTGGCTCTATTTAGAAGCAACCAATATTCCAATATCGCCACTTTCTTGTCCTCCCAGGCAAATGCCTCATGGAACCTCCATGACACAAACGATCAAAATATAGCTACATTCAGGAAATCCTCAGCCCATTTCACAGATATGAAAACTGAGACCTTAACTGGGCACTGGTGGCTCATGCCAATAATCCTAGCTCCTCAGGTAACAGATCTGAGGACCACAATTCAAAGCCAGCCCTGGCAGGCAAGTCCATGAGACTCTTAGCTCCAATTAACCACCAGACAACCAGAAGTGGTGCCGTGGCTCAAAGTATTAAGATACTAGCCTTGAGCAAAAGAGCTCAGAGACAGTACCCAACCCTGGAATTCAAACCTCTCAACCTACCAAAAAACAAACAAGTCTTAGGAGCTAAAGCATTTGTAGGTAGTCCAGTATGGAATTTTAACTTTTGTCAATTGTCACACTTGCTGAACCTTTGAGGAAGCCAATATTTTTATGCAGAGAGCAGGCAGAAGAAGCCCTTCCCAGCTTTCTTGAGAGCTTTTAAAAACTGCAGATGTTTCTCTAATGGACTGTTTTTCCCTAAAGGGTAAACTGAATACCCTTGGAAAAAGAGACAGGAAGTATTTCCTGCATCTCCCCAACTGGTAGACATCAGTTACTGATCCTACAGCCATCTGCTGTAGGGCTAGAGAGCTGTTAGCTATATTCATGAAGGAGATGAATTAATAAGGGATTTCAACACCCAGGAACTGATCATGCCCACTGTCCCAGAATGCCACCACTATTGTGCTATTCCTTCAAGTTATGCATGGCTATCTTCCTACCTCAACCATACCTATAATCTGAAAGTTGCAACAGATGAGACCATTATTAAGACAAAGCAGATATTGCTGTTATTTTATAATGAGAAAACTGGGGTCTAGAGAAGAAAATTTTGATTCTAAGATACAGCTTCCTAAAATAACCCATACCAACCAGTGAGATTTTCAGGGCAAAGACAGAACCAGACAAGCAGTGGGAGATTTTCCATGCCTGAGTCTCACCTAGGTCTTCTTTCAACTGGATTCATCTAGATCCTTCCAGAGGAATAACCTGAACATCCAGGTAGCTCACAAGAAAAAAAAGGTCACATGGCAATTAAAACAGAGACAATAACATTTATTGGATGCTTACTGCATATCAGATTCTGTGTTAGGATTTTATATGTATTGTCTCTGCTAATCCTTGGGACATTCCTGTGGGTGAATGCCTTTCCACACTGGACAGACAGATAGAGCACTGAAACTCACAGAACTGAAGAGACTTGCCCCAGGTAGTCCAGCCTCCTGGTGGTATTTGGACAATCAAGACCTTACTGGTTCTTAAGACCTTGTGGTTTCTGAAATGTTCTACAGACAGTACAAAAACCAGGCAGTCACAGAGCCTAGGAGTGGTTCCCAGCTCACAGAAGAAAGTTGTAGGAAGCAAGAAATGACAAAGTTAGTGTGTTGGGGTTTTTTTGGATGAGATCAAAAAGAAAAGAAAATCAAATGGGTAGGAAAAATAATCTCTCCCTAAATTTCTGTGGGTTTTCAAACTTAATGATCAACGTGGGCTGGAGAGGGGAAAGGATGAGGAAGTAAGGTCCCTTGAGCCTGAAAATTATTTCATGGTCATCTAGTGTAGGCAGAAACCTATGCCAAAAATCACAAAGAAGAGCCAAAGGAAAATGTGTTAATGGAGGAAGGCCTAAGGAGCAGAAACTCCGTGGACCTTGGTTTCCCAGCAGATAGACCCCCATATCCACTGGGTGTTTGGCCTGTTATTGCCCTCTTGGCTGCCGATCTCCTTCCATTTCTAACAGCAGGCGTGTCAAGGTCATCTTCCTAGGGAATATTATTTCCAGGATCCTGGGCTGTGCTGGGTTTGGGATCCAGAAAGATCCCATTTATAAAGAATTGTAGCTAGAGAATGGGGAGGTACTCTAGTCCTTTGTCCGGCATCTATAACTTACTCTGTTTTCCATATGGAGATTAAGCATTATAAAGTACAAAGAACTATACACTCATACTGTCTTAGCTTTGAGCAATAAAAGGAACTAGGAAACAAAGATTTGAAAAGTACTAGAAATAAAAAAGGGAAACATATTCTAATCTGTGAAGCTGTTCTCCCTCACCTTGTTGAATGCCTGCTCAGGTGCTACACTTTCCTCGAGTGAAGCCGAAGGATGAATGATGGTGCATAGTCAGTGAAAGATGGTTAATATCACAACCTGACCACTGATCACAGACTCTCCATCCTAAAGGCTTGGCAGTGACATCAGCTCTAAACATTATGTTGTCCTGGATAAATAAACAAACAAAAAATCCAAGGAAAAAAAAAACATTGATGGAAAAGATAGAAAACATTTTTGGATTTTTCTGCTTTCTGCTTGACAGCCATGGGCCCTCCAAAGGAAATCACGTTCGCAGACATCACTGAAAATTCAGCCACAGTCAGCTGGACGGCACCCACTGCCAAGGTGGAAAACTTCCGGATCACCTATGTACCCGTGACAGGAGGTAGGGGATTCAAAGAGCGCTGAGGCAGGAGGGATGTGGAGGTTTGGGGTGGCATATGAACCTCCCATTACCCTAAATGCACAGACATTGAAAACTACTTGCTACAAAATTGAAATGACAATCTACAGAGTTTATTCATTAAGTATTGTAAAATCTTTTGGGGTGAGGGGTAGAAAGAACTGTGTTGAAAAGGATCATTGTATTAAGATCCTTTCTGGCCTTGAACTCTAAAATTCTATGAGAAATAGGTCCCTGGTATTGCATAACACAATGATGACAGATTTTTATATACACTGAACTTTTTATTCCTGAGCACATTCATCTGAAAAAAAATGGTCTTGGGTATGAGTGAGATTTTGCCCATAGTGCCAAATAGCCATCTTTACCATAGAGAGTTGTGAGTTCTAATTCAGAACACAGGGGATAAAGAGGATGAAGTAGAGTAAAAAAATCTGTCAAAAGTCCTCCTGTCATGTAGCAAGCTCACAGTAAGTGGAGAGCATGGCTGGTGACAAGAATGCCGTAACAGGATTGTGATCACCTGGTATTTGAGCTGTTTGTTCATTGAAATTCACAGAAATAAGTATTAGAGCTCAAATTTGACTATATCCATCCTTTCTGAATTCCTGCTAACAAGGGAATCTATATCATCCTAACTCAAGTCAATGGATTGAATAGAGCTTTCCATATACTTTGTAGGGGTAAAAAAAAAAAAAATCAAAAACAGTTTATACACCATGCCAGCTCTCTACTGAGTGGAAACTTACCATTTTGGGTGGTTGTGACTTCATGTCTTTTTCTTTCCTGGATTGGTTTTTGGCATCTGCACCAACGGAAAAAGCATTATACACAAAGTTAAGGCCTTTTTCCCCTTAAGCCAAAGGGTGGGAGAAAGTGAGAGGAAGTCAAGAAAATGGTATTGCATAAAGATACAAATCTGTTGCCAAACTTTGTCCACCGCTCGTGGGGCCGCAGTGAATAGATGTCCATGAGTTGGCCATTCCTAGTCTCGCTCCTGTTCTACCTCAGGTGACCCCTCCATTGTGACAGTGGATGGAAGCAAAACTGAGACGCGGCTGGTGAAGCTCACGCCAGGGATGGAGTACCACGTCAGTGTCATCGCCATGAAGGGCTTCGAGGAAAGCGACCCAGTCTCAGGGTCACTCACCACAGGTGTGTTGGCCTTTGCTTCTGGTTTTCCTGCGTTCACTTTTATAAGATCCTTATTCCTCATCTCCAGTGTTATGTCTTATGACTCACCAGCTGGTGAGGAAAAGGGTTATTTATGAAACCCTAGAATCAGAGTGCCAAGAAGTTAATTTGTGTGTCCACTCTGATCGCTTCTGAGCTGGGTAACCTTTGGAGCATCCTTAGACATCTCAGGCCTCCACTTCCAGGAATATTCTGGAAGAAATAGCCCATGTTTGGGAACCATACTGACTTCAGTTGAAATCCTAATTATACCACTGGCTAGCTCCGTGTACCTGTCAGTTAATTTCTCTGGGCTCCATTTCCTCTGGAAAATGGGCAGAATCCTGCTTCCCTCACAGGGTTGGGTGAGGATCTCTCTATGTGTAACTGTGCAAGTTCTCCCACCTCCGTCCTTCCCCCATCTACTTATCAATAGTTGTCAGGACTCTTAGAACAAGTGCTTCATGAGGAAATGTGATGGAAATGTTTAGATTAATAGCCACTAGTAGCTAGTGTCTATTTGACAGTCCCTGCGTTCCAGACACTGCTGAACACTTTACAGGAATTCCCACAGAGGTTTCCATCCCCAGCTCACAGAGAAGACACCTGAGACATGGGGAAATTATAAGGCCATATAATCAGTAAAATGTTGGGACCAAGTTTGAACCTAGGTCACGCTGACTGAAAGCCCTGCATTCTTCTAAAATAAAAGAGCCTTTTCCGATTAAAAGACCGATTTGTACAGTTTGCTCTAAATGACTGGAGGGATAATGAATTACATTGAGGAAGAATGAGGTGGAAAATTTCTTTCAGACAGCTCTGTCTCTATAAACAATTTATCCTTTGAGATAGGAACAATTATCCAGTCCAGCCCACTAAGAAATCCAAAGAATGGGCCTCATAGGAAATTTCAAAAATATCCTAATGTCTGAAAAAAGGTTGTTAATATACAATTGCAACATCCCATCTGAAACCAGAGTCCCATCCACCCTATTCCGTGGGCCTCTGTTTTTCCAAAGAAATGTTTTCCCTCATGACTCCCTATAGTAGATCCACAAAAGCTGGGTGTGTTTCTTTCTGAGGCCCCACTGTTATCGGAAGTTAATGGAGATTCTGTGCATGCACAATGAAATGAGAAGAGACTAAGAGGGGTTGATGTGGGATCTCAAATTTTCTCTGCACACCCTTATTCTCTAGCCACTTCTTTTAAGTTCTTGAGGCCTAGGTGTTCATCTGTTAAATGAGCTGAAGACAATGGCCCACATCACTCTGGGCGGTCATGAGGTAGCAGAGTAGCAAGTTAGAGAGCAGGCAGGAAACAATCACATTCAGGTTGGCTTCCAAGGAAGAGATTCTGGGGAGAAATAAATAGTTAAAAAAAAAGGCCAAAACTGAGAGTGTGGCTTCGGTGGTAGAGTTCTTGCCTAACAAGTGTGAAGACCTGAGTTCAAACTCCAACACCGCTAAAAACAAAACAAAAGAGCCAGGGATGGATATCTTCTGAATATCCTTTCTCGGTACAAGTCACTTAAGCACAATAGCATCTATTTGAGATAGAGTCCCTCTACATGGCCAGGCTTGCCTCAGTTTCCCAAGCACCAGGATTAGAGAATGATGAATATTCATAGAAATACTGATAACAACTGCAATTCCTCTAGCATGTTTTATATGCCTCATCTACTCAGGCCTTACATTAGGAGGAAGGAAGGAAATAAGGAAAGAAAGGAGTTGTGGGGTAGGGAAATTACCTTCCCATGTGCACAGAGACACAGTCCAAGTTGCCACAGTAGAATCAGAGACCAGTGGCCTCCAAAACCTGGTTCCACATTGCCTGTCATTCTCCTAACCAGAAACATTACCCAGCACCCAGAAAACTTTACACAGCTTAGAGCAGGTCTTCCCTTTCTGTGTCAGTTCCTCCCCTGGGTAAAGGGATATAAGCTCTGATGCTGGTGCTTGTCTGGTGCTCAGCACCTTCCCGCCCATACTACAACATGGAAACCATGTCAGTCAGAATGATTTTATCCCCAGTGAACAAGTGAGAAAATACCCAGCCAACAAGGAAAGGAATCATGACTCAAAGCCAGGTCAGCCTGGCTTCAGGCTCACGCACCATGTTCCTGGCACTGACCTAACAGTAGGAATCAGAGCAGCTCATCTTGTAGGGGGCAGCTCATCTTGAGTCTGAGGTCCTCCCCATCATGACCAGCTCTTTCCCATCACCTTTCTTTGCAGCTCTGGATGGCCCATCTGGCCTGGTAACAGCCAACATCACTGACTCGGAAGCCTTGGCCATGTGGCAGCCAGCCATTGCTACCGTGGACAGCTATGTCATCTCCTACACAGGGGAAAGAGGTAAGGTCTTGTTCAAGACTCTCCTCTCCTGACACGTGTCTTACTGCAGACTCTTCCCATTCTCCTGTCCTGTGCCACATTTGGTAGGTGGGGAAGGCCAGGATTGTCTGTGTAGCTCTCAGTGCAGCCTTCTTAAGACAGTCTAATAGTACATCTCCAGCCTCCACATAATTTCCTAGCCCATCCCTCCACTCCTGCTATCTTCCTACCAATTAGTACAAGACTCCAGATAGTACCTTTTATCTTTTACAAAGAAGAGGTCCAGAATCCTAGGGTTCCTGAGCTTTCAGAAGACACCGAAGAGAGTAGTTGAAGCAAATATGATTGTGTTTCTGCAAGCATGTGTGTTAATTTACAGTAAAGAATTGGTTATAATAACAGTCAACATGGCCAGCTGAAAATAAAAGCCAAATGCAAATAAGACAGAGGGGAAAGAGAGTCTCTTTCAATAAGCCCATATGGTTCAGTATTGCTTTGCTTTCAGTGACAATATGAGACAGAATCATAACCCATGCCTGGGGACTCTAAAAATTTTAATTCCACCCTGGCAACAACCTGAGGAAGTCCCTTGTGAGCACAGAACAAAGGCAGGGGCAGGAATTTGTGTTTACTCATTTTATTCTTTAATTCTGATTCCTTGTGAGCAGACTCTTCTGAGAAAGGGAAGACGATGTTGCTTCATCTAAAATAAACCAGGGTGCTATTGATGTGATTCAAGGAAATCATGGATTCAGGGCTAACAAAGAGGAGCAGAATGGGAGTGGGGTTCCTGGATGATGAGTTGAGGCAATCAAGTTATCCTAGTTCACCAATGTCTTTCCAGCTGTAGGACTGAACATTTCACACCTGGGAACTCCATGCCTAAGTGATAAGGTTCCCGATGATTAGGAAATAAACACAGTGGCCAATTGTGTGACTCAGGGGTCTGAGGGGTTAAGTGGCTTCTCAACCATCAAGGCTTTGTGATTCTTGATTTGACAATATTTGGTAGCACAAAAAGATGTGTGAGTGGAGGAACAGAAGAGAGAGAATGCCATGGGGATAAATTCAACTTGGATAACCCAAAGCTCCAGAACTCCCCCCTAGCTCAATCCAGTGTTTCAGCAATGCAATGCTGCAACCAATATACCATGTGGAAAATAGCCCCTGAACTCCAGCTCCTTTCCTTCTGATCTGGTCTCCATATCATCTAGCCCCTCTCCTATGAGAAGAGAGGTGGGATGATCATGTCAGAACTCAAACTAGACTCTCAGCAGGTCACAGAAAGATTCTGGGGTAGAAGAAGGAATGTACACTGTTATTACCCCTGCCGATGGCTCACAGACCGAGAAGTAACCACCTGGTTATGTGTTTTTCGTGTTCAGTGCCAGAAATCACGCGCACGGTGTCCGGGAACACAGTAGAGTATGCTCTGGCTGATCTTGAGCCTGCCACAGAATATACACTGAGAATCTTTGCAGAAAAAGGGCCCCAGAAGAGCCTCACCATCACTACCAAGTTCACCACAGGTACAGAATTACCAAGAACAGAAGCTCTGGCTTATGGGATGCTTACCCACAGCCTACATCTTAAACACCAAGCCCTTACAAGCTCTTCCTTAAGTCAGCCTCATGTCATGTGATGAAGTAGACAGAGGTTCAATCCACCAGTGCCTATTCTGTAGATACCTGAGATACACACCATTTCCTTTTGAACTGAAATGACCTCATTCTCCCAGTGAATGAAGAAAAGATTTTTGAAAGGAAAGTTTATAAGTAGAAAAACAGTCACAACTGGCCTTAAACTCAGCATTTAATGATCCATGTTCCAGGCAAAGAAATATATTTAAAGAGAGGTTTTTCAGGCAAGCTTTCCTAGATGTCCATATGCATTGAAAATATTTTTTTGTCAGTCATGGGACTTGAACTTGGGGCCTGGGTACTGTCCCTAAGCTCTTTTGCTCAAGGCTAATACCTTGAGCTACAATACCACTTCTGGTTTTCTGGTGGTTAATTGGAGATAAGAGTCTCACAGACTTTCCTGCCTGTGCTGGCATGAATCCTCAGATCTCAGCCTGAGTAGCTAGGATTACAGGTGTGAGCCACCAGCTCCTGGCCTTTTTTTTTTTAATGAACATCCACCAGCAGGGAAATGGAGAATTGTCCTCTTTGCCTGGTGAGGGTCAATATGATATCAGCTACCATTTGTCCTCTTACTTAGAAACAAGGGGATCAGTAATGATGTGTACAGCTGTATCTTTCTCCAAGTTGAACCAAAGCCAACCAGAACCTTGTTGAGCTCACAGAGACCTGACTCTTAGAATGAGCTGTGGCTTAGACTATTTGTCTTTGGAGTCCTGGGCATCAACCTCTTCATCTGCAAGTGAGAAGTTTCTTGCCCAGGATCACATCGGTTCGTCCTCTTGATATTCTGTGCCTTAGACTTGCTGCCTTGCTTAACATTAATCATCTCCTCCAGACCTGGATTCTCCAAGAGACTTGACTGCTACCGACATTCAGTCAGAAACTGCCCTCCTCACCTGGCGACCTCCTCGGGCATCGGTCACTGGTTACCTCCTAGTCTACGAATCCGTGGATGGTACCATCAAGGTAGCTTCACGTGTGAAATAATTCCCCACATGTACTCTTAAAAGTGAGGGAGAATTAGCTGATGCTATTTCTCTACTCCAGTACATTTAAGGAGCTTTAAAAAAACTTACTAGGGCCAGGACCTTCTGAGTCATACTCTCCAGCCTCTCTCATTTTAACCAGACCCTAGTTTTGAGAGTCAGCCAAGATCCAGAGCCACCACTAATAAGCCTTGACATTTTAGGAGCTAGATTCTTAGCCACTGAATATTTTCTTGAAGAAAGGTGGAGAGTTTCTTCTGCATTTATGTCCTAGGTATTATACCACAGATGGTATCATCACACACAAATTGCAATATATTTCACTATGCCCTTGGGACAGCAACTAATAGCATCCACATTCGCTGTGAATGCAAGTCTATTCTTGCCCCATGAACTTCTTCCTGTTACTTTTCAATTTTCAGTAAGTTTAGAGCTTCAGACCAATGAAAGGGGTTTTCTGAACTTTTCCTTTCACACTTGTTCTTTTAATGTCAGTTATCGCTACTGTGTCTAAGTTCACTAACTTCTGTACATTTGTATTATTTTAATCAGCTTCTTGGTGTTTCCGGTTATCATCTTATTGCTAAAATACGTGGGACAAGTATTTCATTCTGTAATCTGTAGGTCATTTCTCCCAACTTTCTTTTCTTGCTTTTCTGGCTGTCCTCTGGCTTCATTTCATGGGGTCACCTTTCATATAGGATACCCCTATCTAATGTTTATTGCTCTGGTTTATCCTTTTGTCCTGGAGCCAAGAATGAAAGAGTTAATTGGGACTTCCAGCTGCTAGCTCACCAGAGTATGGGGACAAGTATCCAGCAATATGTTTTATTTTGGTCTAGGGCAAACTTTGGGCTCTCACTGTGTGTAAAGGCTCACTTTATCTCATATTTCTAACTTGGCACCTCAACATTAAAAACAACTACTTCTGGAAAACTTGAATCCAGAGCTTCAGTGTTAGCTCATTCTCTCCAGTCTTCCACCTGGAATAGGAGGAGATGAGGAAATCTGAGGAGCTAAACTATTTCGGTACAAACCAAACTTTGTTTGGGAACACCCTACATTGCCCTTAGAGGCAGTGTGTTCATGTTCACAATTGTGATGGATTCTGTGTATTCCTGAAGCCATCTCTCAGCACTCTGTCCCACCTCTGGCATTCTGCTCTCTCGGGGGTCTCTCCTTTACCACCTTCCATCTACCGTAACACCTGGTGCTGTCTCCTCTCCAATTCTCCTCAGCTGTGTGGAGTTATACTTTATATTTCTTTACTCTCATTTCAATGGATATCATAAGCAGATACATGTAGTAACTACATGTAGTCACATGTTACTACATGGAGACATGCATTTCTAATTATTCTCATCACCTTCCTGGAGTTGGTACATAAAGAACGAACTCACTGTGTGAGCCATAACAAATCCCATATCTCTTCCAAGGGCCATGTCCACATCTGTGAAATGACTACATGGCACTCATGATGTCCAGGGTCCCCTCCCAGCTGGAATTCTTAGGGTTATGTTTATCTTGAATTTTGAGTCTCACATCAAGCTACCCTAATTGCTTAGAAGACAGCCCAGAGAGATGACAGGCAATTTTATCCCCGAGTAATTCAATGAGCCTGGTTTTATACCTGACAGCTGATCGCTCTCTGAGGGCCACAAAAAGGTCACTAGTATTAAATGGGTGCTCACCCTGGCTTGTTTTCCAACATATTTGATCCTCAGCTTTCTATGTCTCACTCAAAAATAAATAGATAAAGGAATCAACTTAGCATAGGAGAAAGAAAGAATACCAGCCAGAGTCTTAGGAAACCTGGGTACAAACTCATCTTCTACCACCAACAATGAAGCGGGAGTGAGTTCTTTAGGTTCTTTGAAATTGAATTCCCCACTGGGAAAACTCAGGATAACACAGTATCCCAGGATACAGAAGGAATTTCCATGTGTGTCTGCACTAACCCATTACAGCCTAAATCCAGTGGGCCTTGGTTAAGTGTTGTGCAGAGCAATGTTGTATTTGGTTTACCTGACTGTAACTTCAGTTCCAATCTCAGACACCAAATTCACCTGTGACAAAGCATTAGACAATAGTGAGAGGATTTAAAAACAAAGATCCTCTCCTCCAAAAGGAAAGGATCATCCATCTGGCCAAGAGCCCAGAGCCCAGCCGCAAGCACAGTGGCAATGAGTCACTGTGGATATCTTTGGATATCTTTGTTCTGGAGGAGCCAGTGCTTTGGGTCAGCTTACGCCTCCCTCAGGCCCACCTTCAGAGCTATTATGGTCATCTTTCCATTCAAGAAAAAAGCTTGCTAAATATATACTAGTCAGGCCTTATTCTTCTCTCTCTGATCATTCAGTCGAGTCTAGGATGGAACATTGTACTTTTTTTATAGCTCACACATAGAGATAGCCATCCTCATGCACTTCCAATCCTCTTGCCTCTAGTGCAATTCATCTTGCCATAATTTTAATTTTTTTAAAGCACAACTGTATTCATGACACTCATTTGCCTAGACACACCATTGAGACCTTCCGTACCAGTCCATAGCCTGGCATTTAAGACTCTGTAATCTAGTTATTCCTTACCTTTTTCACCTCTCTTGCCCACAAAAACCCCAAACCAAGTACAACTGAGATAAGTTATTGTCTCATCATATTTTAACTTCCCTGCTCCTTCCGGCCCCAGGGCCTTTGCTTAGGCAGCAGTTTTCCTATCTCTGATTCTCCAGTTAGGGACTTAGAGTTGGGCACAGATCTTGTGCATGGGGCAGTGACTAGAACAGGACAGGTATAGAATGTTACGTCTATTCTCTGAGAATATCTGTGAACAAAGTGCTTGTTCCTTCTTCTGTCCTCAGGAAGTCATTGTGGGGCCAGACACTACCTCCTATAGCCTGGCAGATCTCAGCCCATCTACCCACTACACAGCCCGGGTCCAGGCACTGAGTGGATCTCTGAGGAGCAAGCTGATTGAGACCATCTTTACCACAAGTAAGGACCGCAGGACGTGACTGGGTCTTGAGGTCTAACTTTGTGACATTGAACCAAGCCTCCACCTTCCATTTGGCTTCGGCTTTGAACGTTTCAAACATGTTTCTGAAAAGTATCCATCTTCCGCTGCTGCCTGGAAGTCCAGGGAACGTGGATGCTAAAGGCTGTGGTGTCCATGGGAGAAGGGAAGAAGAATAGGCTGAGTGGCTCTGGGTTCACGGGCCATCGCTCCTCTTCCTCTGCATGTCCCAGGGAAGGAGGTTCCTTCTCCTCCATTGACCTCATCTCTGTAGAAGGGGATTAACAAGGGCACCTGCACAAGGACCCGTGGGAGTGAATCAGCTCTCCTTTGAATTCCTAGCTCAGTCGAGTTCAATCTAAGCCCAATTTAAGTCCCCTTCTTCTTTAGCTTTAATGTTTACAAGGCCTGGGCCATACAAAAAATCTCAAATAGTCTTATGATCAAGCTGGCCTAGTAGGCCATGCCTCAGTTTCCTCGTTGGGAAATGGGGGCTTCCAGAGACTTCCTGACCAGGGCAACTATCTTGGAGTCAACGTTGGGCTCAGATGTCCTGGACCAGAGCTCCCACCCTCCTCCTGCACTTAGCACTGGTCATCTTCGCAAGAAGCAGGCTAGTGAGCTGTGCACTGGTGAGTGCAGTGCCTGACAAAGGCTGTGCAGCACCTCCTGCCTTTCACTCTTCCCTGGACAGTGGCATGTGCTGAGGAAGGTTCTTCCTCTTCACCAGATCCAAGGCCATGTGCCAGGAACACGAGAGCATCGTGTGCCCTCAGGGTGCTCTCAGACTAGGGCTGTGAAATGAACAACAACACAATTTATGCTGCAATCCCAGGTGATGGTAAATACAGCAAGGAGAGGTTGTGAGAATTCCTAAGACCAGTACTCTCTGGTGGCCTGCTAAGCAGAGTGCCAGGACTGTCCTGTCCATCACTTCTTTCGTGTGTGTGTGTGTGTGTGTGTGTGTGTGTGTGATATCATTTCACTTGAAAATCCCCCAGGTGTCATTACTATATGTAGGATTTCTAGGCTAAGATTCTCTAGTATCAAATAAGAAGCCAGGCATCCGTGGCTCATGCCTGTAATCTTAGCTACACAGGAGGCTGAAATCTGAGGATCACAGTTCAAAGCCAGCCTAGGCAGGAAAGCTTGTGAGGCCTGTTATCTCCAAGTAACTACCAAAGGAAAAAAAAAAGAAGAAAGAAGGGGGTAGAAGAAAAAGGAAGAAGAGGAGGAAGGAGGAGGAGGAAAAGGAGAAAGAGGAGGAGGGGGAGGGAGGGAAGGAAGGAAGCAAAGGAAGGAAGGAAGCAAGGAAGCAAGCAAGGAAGGAAGAAAGGAAGAGAGGGAGGGAGGGAAGAACGGGAGGAAGGAAGGAAGCAAAGGAAGATAGCAAGCAAGGAAAGAAGAAAGGAAAGGAGGGAGGGAGGGAGGGAGGGAGGGGAAGTAGAGCTGTGGCTCAAGTGGTAGAGCACTAGCCTTGAGCAAAAAACTATAAGGCACTGAGTTCAAGCCCCAGCACTGGCATACACATACAAAAAAGCAAGTGGAGAGTTCAGAACTCAGGTCCTTGACTCAGAATCCTCTGAAGAAGCTGATGATGTATTCCTGGTGTGGACAAAGCTATACATTTGTCTGAAAAGCTCAAAGCTCTCAAGGTTTCATGAGACTCTCAAAGAAGCCTGCACCTTAATAGGATGCCCTGGTCCACCGTGTACCATCCTTGGAGTGCTAGAATGCACACACTAGCCAGTACCTGAGAATTCACTGGGTGCTATTTGATGTAGCAGGTGGAACCAGGTTAACTTCACACCACAACCCTCACAGCAGTAGTATGAGACCATATCTATAACCCCTACACCATAAGGCAGACTTTCCCTTCTTCTTGCACATGAGGGAATAAAGACCATTCCTGTTGCTTGCTTATACACACTTAAGCTGCAATCAGCAGTCCTTCTGCTCTGAAAGTTATTTTTCTCCTCCTTTTGTAGTTGGACTCCTGTATCCATTCCCCAGGGACTGTTCCCAAGCCATGCTGAATGGAGACACAACCTCTGGCCTCTACACCATTTATCTGAATGGTAACAAGTCCCAGGCACTGGAAGTGTACTGTGACATGACTTCTGATGGAGGTGGATGGATTGTGAGTATTCAAGGTGGACTCCTGGGCCCTCAGCCATGGGAAAGGGGGCTGGGCACACAAGGAAAGGGGTAGGCTATGTCCTCTGTGCAAAACCTTTCATAACACAATGGCTCATACTTGGAAATCTCTTTAAGCAAAGGAATGAAAAGAAGCTGAGGATTAAAACAATAATGCTAAAAAATTTTTATAATGTACCTCATCTGAGCCTCTTCAAATTCTGATAAATAAAAGAGGGTGATCATAAAATCCACTAAATTTATTAATTAGCAGCAACCAATCACTTACTATCAACTAGGCATTATGCTAAGAGTTTGATCGGAATTCTTCCAACCCCCTTATTGTATGAGCTGAGTTATACATTTTTTGTTTTGTTTTGGGTCTGGTCATGGGGCCTGAACTCTGGGCCTGGGCTCTGTCCCTCAGCTCTTCAGTTCAAGGCTAGCGCTCTACCACTTGAGCCACAGTGCCACTTCTGGCTCTTTTCTTTTTGCTTATATGGTGCTGAGGAATCGAACCCAGGGCCTCATGCATGCAAGGCAAGCGCTCTACCACTGAGCCACCTTCCCAGCCCCTGAGTTATACATTTTTAACCAATAAACTTTAAGAGTTCAAAGGTTCACAGCAAAATTACTGTCCAGTTTCCATCTACTTCCTGCTCCAGCATACCATCTCCACCATTATCAGTATCCTGCACAGAGGAATTCATGTATTAGCAGGGACAAAACTACCTGGATACATCATGAGCCCCTAAAGCTGAGGGGACATTTTCTGTCCCTATTTTTCAAGAGAGACTATGTACTCAGAGAGGGCAGGTGACCTGCTCAAAGTCATATGCAAATTAGTGATGGACAGATCTGGGAATATGGTTTTTTTTGGTTTTGGTTTTGGTTCTTTGATGGTCATAGGCCTGAACTTTGGGCCTGGGCGCTGCCCCTCAGCTCTTCACCTCAAAGCTAGTGCTCTACCACCTGAGTCACAGAACTACTTCTGGCTTTTTCTGCTTATGTGGTGCTGAGGAATTGAACCCAGGGCCTCATGCATGCAAGGAAGGCACTCTACCACTGAGCCACCTTCCCAGCCCCAGAATAGGTATTCTTTTCACAGCCCAATGCTATTTGCTCAAAACAATTCCTTCTCTTTCCTTTAGTACCTTAAGTATGCTCAGATTCATCAACTGTATTTGTAGGTATTTCTGAGACGCAAAAATGGACGGGAAGACTTCTATCGCAACTGGAAGGCATATGCTGCTGGATTTGGGGACCGCAGAGAAGAATTCTGGCTTGGTAATACAGCCCTGCATGTCTGTTTCTAAAGTACCCATTTCTGCCCTCCATTTCATTTGTCCTAGCTCATATGTTCAAGAGGGGAGAGAAAAAGATTATGGAGAAAGGAAGGAAGTCTCGGACACAGATATCACAGAACCTCAAACTCCCAGGACCAAGTGCTCTGGGTTATTAAAAATAAAAATTTAATCAAGAAGGAACTTTATGAATGTACCTTAAACATTCATAAGCTTGTCTTCACTGGTAACTTGGCTACCTTCCTTCTACGTGTCAGGCACCTGACACTTAGGAGCCATAACCTTACAGCCATAACCTCTTATCTACAACTCCCTTACAAAGTGCAGAATTCCCTCTTATACATGAGGAAACTGATCCTCAGAGAGCTGGAATGGCTTATTCATGGTAGTCTAGCCAATGAGCAATTTAAAATCTTCCAAGCCAGCACTGCAGTGCTGTCTACATATCCATCATCCATCAACCCATCCATCAATCGTCCACCCATCATCCATCCATCAATCCATCTATCTGTACCACTCATAGTTTTCCATAATCTATCTGCACAGAACTCTCGTCTATGCACTGCTGTGGGAGCTTAGAAAAGTACATTCCAACATCATCCATTGTCTTCCCTTTGTAAAGTGCTTTAGAAGGAGAAAGATATATTCATTGTCTTACTGCCTGTGACCTTTGCAATATATTAGGATATTGGAAGAGCGAAGATGTCAACCCAATTTTATCTAAGTCTTAAGAAGCATCACCTGTTTTCCCTGGTATGGTACCAGTGACTAGGACACATTTCAAGGCCAAGTCTTTCTGACACTCTGTTCAGTGACCCAGCTGCAGCTCTTACAGGAGAAAATAGAAATGATGGCATGAGTCACTTTTTCCCCTTAAGCAACCCTTGCCTGTCATCCACAGGGCTGGATAACCTGAGTAAAATCACAGCCCAAGGACAGTACGAGCTGCGTGTGGACCTGCAAGACCATGGCGATACAGCCTATGCTGTCTATGACAGGTTCAGCGTCGGAGATGCCAAGACGCGTTATAAGCTGAAAGTGGAGGGCTACAGCGGGACAGCAGGTAATGGGGCAGCCACACCTCCTAAACCATGGATGACTCCTTCCCTCCTTCCTTCCTTCCTTCCTTCCTTCTCTCCCTCTATCCCTCCCTTCCTTCCCTTTATTCTTTTCCTTCTTCCCCTTTCTTCCTTCTTTCCTTTCCTTTCTTCCCTTCCTTCTTTCTCTTTTTTCCTTCCTTTCCTTCCTTTCCTCCCTTCTTTCACTAATCCATCCAGTCAACAAACCCTCAAGTACTTCAATACATCCTAGGTGTTAGGCCAGAAGAATTGAAACCAAAATAGATCAGGTGACTGTTTTAGTCACTAAAACAATGTGATGGGAAAGAGCCATCAAGCCTGAATTATAACTACTCTCACTTTAAAAAAAGAAGTGCTTTAACCCCTTTTAAAAAAAAAGTCAGTTATATACACTGAAAGAAAAAAGTAAGTCTCCCAAACCCTTAACTTCATGTAATGCAGTACTTTTCTGCTATGGGCATCTGCCCCCTGGGGGTCCTGCTTTGTGGGGCTGCTGCTGACACAGGATGCCTGGGTGGAGCTGAGAGAAGTATTGACCTTTTTTCAAGTTCCCTGGAGGTGCAGTTGTTGCTGATGTTGCTGGGGACTGCCTTTCAAGTAGCCCTTTTATTCCCTATGTGCATCAGAATGCTAATTCTAGTGCTGAAGATTCCTCTGACTTGAAATGGCCTTTGTGCAGTTTTCTGGCTCCACATCACAGGAAAAACAAGGATCAACATATACTAAGGCCTACAAGAAAGCATTCTCTTTTGTATTGCTCTCATGTAATAGTCACTGAAACCTTTCAGTTGGTATAAAGGGCAGGACAGGACATCTCAATGCTTTGCCCAAAGAGAAACAGCTTATAGGTGATGCATACATGATCTATAGGTCTTGGTAACATGGAAAAGTGAGATCTGAGCATACATGCCTATGCAAGCCATGCCCTCCTTGAGCAGCATTGTTTGTTCTTATGAACATGGAAGACTGATTCCATAGCAAATCCCAAACCCTTTGGAGCTCTAAAAGGAAACAACTAAAAAAAGGAAAAAATCTCCAACTATGGGTGGCCAAATCAGGGCACCGTCTAGGGAGGCAGAGTTGTTCTGGTGACAATGGAAGAGAAAGAGCCAGGAATGGAAATTAGTTCCTGCATGCTTCAGTGCATTCTGAAATTTTATTACTTGACAATAAATACCTGTCTGGTGGCAATGGCTTCCAGGAAGGAAGATAGTGTTTTGTGGCACACAAATCCACCAAGTGGCGGAATGGAACGTGGCTCCTGTCCACTCTATTTCCAGGGAGAGAATGCACCAGTACTAAGACAACAGTGGTCAGCTGGAACAGCACTGTGTGCCAGTCTCTAAGAGAGCATTCTGTCTCCTCAGTATCTACTGCCACCTCATGCCCAGGGAGCTTTATCAGTCTCTCTGAGAACTTGGCTCCCAGATATCAGTATGGAATACCTGGGATTCTTTGAATATTTGTGCACAGTACCTGACCAGCGGGGGAGACTGTAGGAACAAAAAAGAAATGACATTGCCCCATTTGTGAGGAAATGGAAAGACTTGGAAAAAATTATATTAAGTGAAGTAAGCCAGGCCCAAAGAAACATAGGTCCCATGGTTTCCCTTATTTGCAATATCTAGTATA